TCTCTCTCTCTCTCTCTCTCCCCGATCGTGACGTAGTCTCTCTCTCGCAGGCAGCAATGAAGTACGCTCTCGTTCAGCTTGGCGCCGAGCGACAACAACAGCAGCAGCAGCAGGAGGAGGAGAAGCAACTAACGCGGCTGCTGCGTCGGCAGCCGCCTGGCCGCACCGCCGCTCCCGCCGCAGGCCTCAGCAAGTCTCTCACGACGGAGCGCGACCGCGGCGGCGTCACCATCATCAGAGCCGCGCGCTCGCCGCCGACCCCGACGACGCAGAAGTTAGCGGCGACCGATCGGAAGACAGGCAGCGTGCGGTCGGGCGGAAATTCGCCGCGCGGCGCAACGCTGGAGCGGCGCAGCGATCAGAGACAGCAGGTGAGGTCGCGTCAGGGTAAAAAATACACGGGAGCGATGAGCGATTCGCTCTTCAAACCTCCGAAATCGCTCCCGTGAGGCTCAAAATAGCTCCCGTAAAATCTTTGACGAAAGCTTTTTTTTCCCAGACTTGAAAAAGAGCTCCCGTGGAAAAAAAAGTAATTTTTTCCCTGGGTCACGTGTGCGCCGGGTCGCCTGGGGTGAGGAGAACGAAGTTGGCATTGATACGTAGGGCATTCCCGTGTAGTTACAGTTACAGTTACACTCCACCCGTGTGTCGTTACATGTACGTAGATGTCTTTACCTGTCGATCGGGTGTTGTTACCTGTACGTCGATGTGTCGTTACATGTCGATCGGCTCGGTGATATTAAACAGTGTTTTCTCTCGGCTTCGCTCGTGCCTCTCCCGCTGCAGGATGACGTGGCGCACCTACGTGTGTATGTACGTACGTATGAAGCCCGCGTTGTTACGTACGACATCCTCCGCTCCCGTTTGTTTGCAGTTATACACGCCCACGCATCGTTACATGTACGTCGATGTGTCTACTACATTCTACATACTACATAGTACAGATTTTATAATACGTAGTACATATTACATATTGACGTAGTTAGTCAAGTCGTATCGTGACGTCTGCTGTTTGTGTGAGAAAA